AGCTAGGGCTTTAATGAAGACAATGCAGAGTTGAATCGTAGCATGGCTGATCTGAATAGATTTTCATGAGGACAGAATTTAGGAGCCCACTGGCCCCTCAGATATTTTGCTTTTGCATTTTCAAAATCCTATTGCATATTATTCACATAGGGAGGATTTGTCACAGTTCTTGGGGGAATTGAAATGTCGTGCTTTAGCTAAGGTTAGTCTTGCTACTTCTTTAGTAACACCTTTTTTCCATGTGGGATCTTGGCATTCTTCTGAGGCCACCAAAACGCATGTACTTTGTATGAGGCAGCAAGGACAAACATCACAGAGTACCTTGCAAAAATCACTTTGGAAAAGGATCTGTGGGCAAACATACTATAAAAAAGAAAAAAAAAAAGTCAAAACACTAATTATTATTCTAACAAACATGCAAAATAGAGCTTCCTAGCTTGCTTCACAAGACCTTTGTCCTTTATGAACTGCACTGACCTGTCCCTGGTGATGAAGACCTAAAATGACCCCATCAATTTATGAGCCCACGATTCTAGAGCTTCTTTAACTTTCTAGCCTAGATCACCACAGCATCTTATTCAACACTTTTACTAAGCAGTGCCATGTATTCTGCAAATAATGTGAAATAACATTGTTAACATGGTTTAAGCATTGTGATAAAATTTTTTTTAATTGGTGAGAAATATCCCATGGGTTTCAGTCTTTGTTTAGTAATATCAGGTTTGAAGCCAAGAATTTAAAAAAAAAAAAAAAAATGACAACAAAACCATGAAGCAAGGCTCAAATAGAAAACAGGAATGCAAAGACATGTTCCCCCACTAGGAATGTGGCTAAGTGGAATGGTCTTCATTCTAACATTCCCTTTTAAGGACAGTAATTGACATCTCAATCTCATTCAAACAGTAATATAAAAACACTTTAAAACCCAAGCTATTTGTATTTATTTATTTTTTTTTCATCTTTCACATTTCTGGAGCTGTCAGCTGTATTCTTTTCATTCAGGCTGTGATGTGGATCCCAGACTTCTTGGAAAGGCCCTGTTTGTCACAACAATAGGTTTTGTATAATTGCCACACCTTGGACATACAGCCCTGAAGTGAAGTTCAGGAGCCATTTACATCAGGCATCCATTAGGTAGTTGTATTTTTCACACTGTAGACAGCCAGATTGACAAAGTTTAGGGCTAATTTCTTAAAGGTAAATTGAATGGCTCTGGAAATAGAGGAAATGTAATCCTTTGATTGAAAGACCTTTAACTGACAAATTCTGATGTTCAAAGTAAATAACTTTTTGATTTTCCATTTAGGAGACATTCTGTTTTCCTTTGCCTGTTCTGATAAGAATAGTGTTTCAGAGATTTGTCTCAGTATAAAAATGATGTTCCTGTAGTTTCATAAAGAACTTTCCAAGCAAAATATTTTCTATCAAGTAAGACAGAAGTCATGGTAGCGTTTTGAAAAGTACTTATGTAAAGTTACGGTCCTGCTTATAAATTTGACTTTTCTAAATAAAATATTATTTATTAATTCCCACTGCTTTGAAAAGTCAGACTCATTTTTATCAAAGCACTAAAGAAGCTACTTTAACAACTCTATGAATGTAATTGCTATATTACATATTGCTGATTTTATCTTGTGTCAGCAAATATGAAAAGTAGAAACATAAAACATTTTTAATATTATTGTTGTCGTTGTCCTATCTGATGCCTAAATTCAAAGACAAACAAGGAGTTCTGCTTCAGTATGCTCTAATAAGAGGCACATCCTCCAGTTTTGGAGGCTGCGATTACTTTCATTCAAAGCAAGGAAGTTTAGGCTTATTTTAGACTCCAGCCTGAGCTAATACAAGTCTCTCTGTCCTGGATCCCAGGTTAAAATATTATTCTGAATCAGCCTATTGCAGTGATCTTTGTACAGCTAAAAATCACTTCAGGAAAGAAATTTTGAGGGAGAACCAGGCTCTAACCTTGAGTTTTGGGCAGTGAGGTGTGAGAGGATGAAGAGGTCCCTGGGAGGGCCTCTGAACCCCAACACCTCCTGGTAGTCTTATGGCTACAGAATCAGGTTACAACGTAAGAAATGTCAGTGATAATTCTAATAGTAATTACCAACTGCAAAGTGGAACAAGGTTTTGAGAGAGGATCTTTCAGTATCTATCCCTCTATATCATCTCTGTATTTTTTTTCTGTACTTCTGTATCTCCATATTCTGATTAAGCTGAAAACTGGTTTATTTTCTGTAATGTACAGAGATGTCTCCTTTGTGAAAGGACTGATTTTTTTTCCCCAAATTATTTAATTGTGAAAACATTAGCTGTTAAATTGATATAACTACAACACATGATAGAGCATATGTATTTAACTTTGTAAATCAAGTTTAATTCAAGTGATGAAGAAAACCATGGAGTAATGTGATGATATTGAAGAAGCCATATAAATAGAAATACACAAAGATTTTTAGGATTGACTGTTGACTGTGTCATTTTGTATTATTCACTTTGAGACATTTTTAAATCATCTTATAGTGATTTACTGGTTTTCAGCATTTTCAAAGTTAATAATTAAGGTTATTTTTTTATTTATTTTTAAAATTTGAGCACCTAATAACTGGGGGAACCAAAATCATTGATTACTGTAGCATCAACATTCTGAACTTGCTTTGAATTTTTTAGGAGGGAATGATTAAGCTTAAAGTTGCTATGAAGATTTTTTTTTGCTGAGAAGTTGGCCTTGTTTTGTTCGCTCGGTGATGCTGTTCAGTTTTGCTGCTTCTGCCCAAGTGAACTCTTCCTCAATTTGATCTTCTGTTCTTTCTAATACTCCTTCAGACAGCTCTTCACAATACAAATGAAACCTCAGTTTGGAGAGTAGGGCCCACTCTTGCTGACCTTTTCTATAAAAATCTAAAGGATTTATTTGTTATTGAGATTTGCAATAAATATCACTACATTTCAATTACACTTCTGAAATTCAAAAATCTAATAGAATATCAGGCTTGCTGGTACTATAGTATTCTTTTCTGAAAGTCAATTTGGAAATATATTTTTATATACTTTAAATGGAAAGCAAGAACAAGTGAATCTTAGGCAGGTTACAAGTTTCCCATATTTTGACTGTCTTCATTTAAAAATTCATGGTTGAAAAGTCCTGTGGCCCAGAAATACAGAAGAATGGACTTCTAGGCATCTTTAAAAAGGAATTGTGCCATATAATATTAGATTTCTGTATTAAGATTGTATTTCAGGCAAAGTAAATATTTCCTTTCACCATAATTGTGAAATAATTTAGAAGTTTTATCATCCTGTTTGTGTTCAAACTGAAGGTTAGTTTAATGGCTGTTACTTCGCTTTCATCTGTTTTGCATTATGTTGAATAGTATTGCTATCAAATAGCTTTCTGCTTTAGAAAGCAGTAAGGTAGTGTTGTATTTACAGTTCTTGTATTGGTGACAGCAACTTAAAAAAAAAAAAAAATGAACAGATTAAAAAGCAAACACAACTCTCAAAGCAATATCCACAACCTGCATAGACAATATTGGCCAGACTAACAAAGGACAAAGCAGAGGAATGCATAGGGTCTTGTTTAAAACCGTGCAAAAAATAGGACAGGAAAAGACAGGGAATGGTTGAGGTTTCAAGAACCCAGTTGATATCCACTGATTTCCAAAATTGTACACTCATGACTTGCCATATCTTTTTCCCATTAACTTGCCTACCAGTTCCACTAGGTGTTGCCAGCAGGAAAACCACCTTGATCCCACACAGAATGGCACGTAAATGCCAGATCCCATTAAAGTGCAGTGCATTATTTATGTTCTCTTCAGGAACCCATTTTTCTTTCTTACACTTCTACTTAGCCCTGGTATGATTTCTTTTTAAGAATGACTTAGTCCTCTATTTTGATGCCCGTCTACAAACTGATATTTCTTCAAAATATAACACCTCTGTTTCGCTCTTCAACTGGTAATATCCTGTGTATTGCAAACTCGATAGTAATTTTGTTAGCAACCTTCAATAACCAGTAATTCTGGAAAAATAACTAATTCTAATAATACATGCTATTTTTGGTTTGTGACTGGGGGGGGATTGCTCCATATTTATGGGATTGTATTAATTGAAATTAATATAATTTGGGCCTAAAGTATGAAAAAGAAACAGTCTGCTTAAAAGTTAATGTGTTTCTAATTAAAGTTAATTTCATCTGACTTTAAAAAAAATTCACATTAATTGCCAAACTTGGATTTCAGAATGCAGTATTTATGTGCTGCCAAACTATTTGATAGGGATCCAATGTATTTTCATTTCTCTGTGGCAGAGGAATGCCCTGAGCCATATATAACCTTTGATATATATTCAGAATATTTGTTGGCATCAGTTATTTGGATTTATGTGCACAAGCTGAGTTCTGAGTATTGATGTTAATGTCTTTTGTGCTTCATAATTTTTTAGCTCTAAGACAAGCTACAGTAATATCATTAGTAAACCTTTTAACCTGTTGAAGCTATGCGAATTGATTAAACCAAGGAAGATTTAAAGCGATTACTGGAAACCATTCTGACACATGCAATTTTTATGCTCGAATCATTAAACTACGTATTGTGTGTGTGCTGCATAAAACATACACTACAAAGATTTTTTTACTTTTATTTTTTGTTTCATCATATTCGAGGAAATTGTAAAGTAACTATGTCTGAAACCTGCCTTGCTGTCTTTTGTATTGAGCGTGTTAATGATTCTGGAAGTGCACAAAGTACACATGGGTTTCCTTGAGGACGTCTGTGATAAGGGTGCACAAATGTATGCAGTAGCATGCAGTGTATTTGCCTCTGGATGTAGAGCACTATACATGGTTGGTTGACTAAACTCATCAATTTGAATTAATTTGATGGGTTTTATTCATTTTTCCTTTTAAATGCATGCTTTATTATTATTACTTTTATTATTATTTCTGCATTTTCTCTCTCCCTCTTTTTGTTTTACATATTGCTTTCATTTGTTTGTAGAAGAAAAGAAAGCAGATCCAGAGAATGGGGATACAGGTAGGGTGACTTATTCAAAACATTTTTGTATTTTTTTTGCCCTTAAATTCTTTGATTTACTATGTTTAAACAAATGTGTACTGTGGAGCTAGATCACAATATTTATGTATCTATTCTGAAATCACAAAAATACTAGGAAACAAAAACTGAGAAAGGGCTTTCCCAAATGTAATTCCTTCCCTTTCTTAAGGGAGTCAATTTAGAGGGACAAATGGGAGGAAAGAGACCAGGTTTAGCTAAAGAAAGCTCTCATACACCTTAAGACCTGTTTTCTTCTCCCAAATCCAGGCATGGAACATGCACGCTGCCTTTTCTCTCTGTTACAGGTTTCTGACCTCCAACATCTCAGTGTTTCTGTAGTTATTTTTCCTCCCTTTGCCTGAGCCATTGTTCTGCCCAGATCTCATATGTCTTTTGTCCATGCCTATCCAAAAGTAAATTTGTCCAATACTTTAAGAGGAACTCCTCTCTGTTTCTGTACCCCGTATTTCCTTTCTACTCTGTGTCCCAGCAGCCCTGTTGTGCAGTACTTTACAACTCCTTCTCCAAGTTTACCACTATCACCTGCATCTATAATAGCTAGAAGAGTTTAATAATTCCCACTGGAGAAGGCAATGAAATGGATGAACACAACTCCCATCTCTTTTTATTTCACTTTTTTTCATAAACAGGTTTGTCTTAGGCTAAACTGGGTGTTAAGGCCATTTTTGTAGGCCTGTTTGCCGCTAGATGTGGACCATGGGCCATCAGCTGAAGAATCTTAGCCTACAGAAGAGTCAGTATTTGTCCTGAACATCCAAGATCAGCCTTTAAGTCCTGGCTGAACTAAACAATTGCTTATTTCCTTGTAAAAATGTGACTCTATATTGAAGTTGGGAAAAGTTAGGTATTAATCGTATCGCTGGCTACAGCCCCTTACAATTTTTGTCAGAAAAAAAACCACAAACAATTATGATGAAAATTTTAATGCTCAAGTAGATGACTCTTATCAAATTTCAAGATCAAACATTAAAATAATGATTTGCATTTGAAGTTGGGGTAGCCATTCTAGTGCTTGTGATGAGTCCTAGCAGCTCCAAGGACAGGTTGCAGGTTTGTTGCCATAGTTGGCCTTACTCTTGGCTGTGCTATGGCACAGTTGGCAACCTCTGGCATTTTGAGACTCTGTTTGCACTGTAACATTGCTGTTTTCCTGCAGCATACTGTATTCTAAAAATAGGGAGAATGGCCATTATTGAATTGGCAGCTAGTGTTTTGTTAGCCATGTAATTCCCCGTGCTGATGACAACCCCATGGAGCTGACTTCCAGGCCCTGTTGTGTGTTTACATTAGGAAGTTGTTTAAAATAAGCAAAACTCTGAGGTGTTCCCCTCAGTCTAATGATCCCAGTTGCGTTAGGTGAGCACGACCAGGCTTTGTTCTTCCATCAGTCTGTCTTTATTTTATGGTATTCTTGTGGCTGAAGTTTGCATGTCTCATTGTTTGTGTTGGAGGCACAGCTCTTGTCTAAAAACAAAATTTTGGAAGGAGGTTAAGGCAGAAAAAGTTTACTAATGAAATCACATCTGCCTGGCCAAAACTTGATTGCATGTCCTTTGAGACATGATGGCATGACATGAAAGACATGAAAGTATACCTTAACTAGCTTTAATCTTTCTAGTGCCAATCTCTGTGCAACCCTGAACGTTTGTTGTACTGAGCTCTAGCTAATGACCTGAATAACTCAAGGGCTCAGTCACCTGATGCTACCAGTGTAAAAGCTGATGCTTCTACATTTTGATAACAAATATTTAGTAACAAGTTAGTTCTGGCTCGCCTACATGTACTTTCTATACAACTCTTGACTACAGAGAAATCCTTGGTGTAGGACTGATGTTGAGGCTTGGTTAACCAAGTCATGTTGGAGCTGAAGCTTCCTAATACACGGAATTATTGGACTCTGTTGGAAGCACTTTCTGCTTCTGCTAAATCCCCCCCACCCAAATTTTAGTTAAGAACAGATTTGCCAGCAGAACCAGACATGGTCAATAGCCCTGCATTTGCACCATTTAGTGCAAATGTGACTTAGTGCACTTAGACCACGTGAACAAGACGTGGCCATGACACTCCCAACCTTTCCTGCTCCCATCCAGATCACGGCTGCATCTGGCATTAGTTACATGGAGATAAGCCTGCAGCAGGCATTAGTTTGTGCAGTCTTTCTGCATATCAGCTCCATGCACAGCAGAACCAAAAATGAGCTTGTGCATTATGAACTTCCCACTGCCCTCAGGATTTCCCCTTTTTTTGGCGTGTAACTGAATTCATCTGTTCTTTAAGGACATTTTCAAAAATATATAGTGGGTTAGATTTTCTTGTAACAAGTTTTTGTTGGAATTGAGTGATTTTTTTTTTTTTCTAAGCTTTGCTGTGTTTGTTTTTTTTCTTGAGATGAAAATGAGCCACCAACTTCGCCTCTTGTGCCATGGAGGGCTCCATTTTCAACTGTATTTCAGTGCTTGATTTTGCAGAACACATGCAATTGGATTTGTGGAAACCTACCTTTCAATTTGCCATAGATCACAGATACAGAAAAATGTTTCCACAAGTAATTGTGGAATTTTTAATGCATGATCAAGAGGTGTTATTTCTTCACTTCTTGTCATTTACTGAAGTTTGGCAGGATGTCTGTGGACAAAGAACAGACGTGATGATTTCATAAGAAAACTTCATAAGAAAAACTTCTGGTGAGAAATTATCTCCTTCATTATGTTACTGAAGAATGACAGGTGGATTTGTAAATCCGATTTCAGCAAAAGGCAATTTATTTCTTTAAGCAAAAGTTAAGAGTATTTTACTACAAAAATACTGATGTGTTATTTTTGTCATTGAAAAAAGAGGAAAGTATCACTTTCCACTTCAGAGTTTCTGTTTTAAAGAGAGAATATCTTTATAGTGCATTTAAAACCAGATCCTTAGAAAAACCACTGCAGCTTAAAGATAAATTGGCAGGTATTGCTGAGGTACTTTTAATAGTTGAGATAAAATGCAATAGGAAAAAGTAGCTATATTTTATTTTAGGAATTTTCACCAGCAACTGTCGTTTTCATTATGTCTCTCCCTATAAAACACCATTTATTCTTTTTCATTCATTTTTATTGATTCACATCTGTCTTGACGGTTTCTCTGAAGTCTCTTCATTCACTTTGACTGTAAGGAGTAAAGATGGAGAGTTGGAATAAGAAAATCAGAAGCCAGAAGATTTATAGATAACTGTAAAATTTAGTGTTCTCAAATTCCTTTTTCCTTTCACCCCATTCCTTCCATATTTTCCATGGTGTACTGCAGGATGTAGCTGACAGGCTTTTCTAGTAGTGTGTGCAACAGTCATTACTGTTCTACAGAAGGAAAATACAAAACTCAGAGGCCCTGCAAAGGCCCTATGAAAAGCCTCGCTTTACTATTAGATTGTGACATAGATCTAAGGTTTAGAATTTAAGTCAGATTTATATAATACACTGGAATCTAATATTCCAATCACAGCTCCATAAATACAGGTCCAGATTGTTCAGTGTTTATAATAGACAGAAGCTTCCTAACTTCTGGATGGATTCTGATAAACTAATCCTAGGCAACCTTTGTGCTAAAAATACAGGAAGTTTAAGAGAAATGCCAGTCAAAAGGAATGCTTATTAGCATTTAGTGGATAATGACTTATTTTTGACTTATACCATGTTAAAGTGGAAGAGAAGAAAGCCTCCATGTGTATAGTAGATAACTATATTTTGCTTCAAAATATTTTTTAATTCTGGGCTGTTCTCTTCCTCTCTTTTTTTTCCTGTTTCTATTTCTCACACTTTCCCTTAAGCTTTGACACTTAATTCCTTATTATTTTACATAGTAAATTGTGCTGTTACAGTACCAGTTGGCAGAAAACAGATGATGCCCGTGTTGTATAGTAAGCAGCCATCTCGACTGAGACTGATCATATATTTGGTCTAAGAAGAGTCAATCCTGAAATCATTCTTGAAATAGCATGTCATTAGAGTGTGATACAGTGATACCACTGGGTGGCTCTTTATCATATCTTTATACATCTTGAAAATACTTTGAGCAAAATAAATATATGCTTAAATGATAAATGGAAGCTTTGCCAGCCTGTGGTCATTACTTGATTAGTAATTTGGTACAAAAATGCTGGTATCACACCAAAATAAATGCAGAACCAGGATCCCCAACTAAAATAAACTGGTCAGCTTTGCATTTTATTTATTTATTTATTTATTTTAATGAAAGGCTTGGTTTCTGTTGAATATTTTTTGTATTAAAACTCTGTTCTGTAGAAACATTATATTCCATTTGCATTCATTTCTTCCACAATATTGGATTCATTTAAATTGTGCAGATAATTCAGTGTTTATTAAGACTGCTGAAATACTTACTCATCTACAATTTTCCTCCTCTTACCACTTTTGTTTTTGTGCAAAATTGTATCTCAGAAACTAAAATTGTATACACCATAATTTAAGTAAATTGGATTTTATCTCTTTCTGTTAAAAATGCGATGAGTGTAACTTTAAACTTGGAATTGAGGACAACTGTATTTATTTCCTTTTTTGTTTGTTTTTTTTTTCAACTTAACAGGTTCAATGGATGTAGAAGAGAGGAATCGCCAAATGAAAATGAGCAAGTACAAACAGGTAGCGGGATCAGATTCCAGGCTGGAACAAGATTATCATTCAAAGGCAAGGGAGTTTTGTTTTGAAAAACAAAAAAATATGTTAAAGTGAAATACCCAATAGCGCTTTTAGAAAACAATTGATGAGTAGCGGGTTGTTTCTTCAGTAAAAGTTTTTTGCGTATCTGTAATAAAATTATTGGAAAAGTGCAGCAAAAACCTTAATACAGACTGGTTTTGGCTACTAAAATTTAGGAAGGATAAGTTAATTAAAAGTGGCAGTGTAATTATCCGTTGGAATGAATAGCAGTGCCATGATTTAAAAGCTCAAAGAGAAGGTACAAAGAGGTTCACTGAGTGACACATGCAATGAGAGTTATTGCAATCTGTCCATGGCTTTCATATAGTTGAACACTGGTCTGTCTTGGTCTACCGAAAACCAAAGTTCATAATGCTACTTAATTTAATAGTGGCAGTTTAGCGCTTGGAAAGGTGCTGTATACATCAACACAGGCTTCTACATCAGAAGTGGCCAGATTTGCCAAAAATGTGAATTGTTACATAGTAGTATAGCCCCAAATATATTATCCAAAAATTCCTGCTATCTGGAACAGGGTCATGTCATATACAGTGTGTTAATTAAAATAATCAAGATATTTCCAATTTAAAGTCCTATTATACAAAAATAATTTAGTGTCCTCTAAAAGACTTCATTAATTGAGGCCAGATTATAAGGGAGAAACACGAGACTTCTGACCTATTAAAGCTGTTTGAGGAAGAGAAGTCTGTTTAAGACTTTTATTTCCAGGATGTAGTTCCTTTGCTTACAGGATTAGCAGTTATTGTAAACTGAGCTATTTAATGTTTGAAGGCCAAAAAAAAATCAAATTTATTAAGTAGTATTAGTTTTACACATCATGTAGACTAATATACTTGATGTAATTCCTTTTGAAAAAATGTGTTTAATTTTTGGGAAAATAGAAGGAGAACTTTTTCAAAGCCCTTGACAAAATGGAGAAAGCTATTACTGGAAATAGAATCGACAAAACAAACAAAAAAACATGAAAACGGCTTAAATATTTTAACTTTATATATGTGCTACATGGTTATTTGCATATTTTCCCTGTATACTTTTCACTGTAGAACACATAAGAATTTTTATGAACACGTAGAAGGGACTTGGTATACTGACATGTCTAGATGCTTGCTATGTGGTGACGTTTATGGCAAAATTATTTTCATGTGTCTATATTGTCTGCTTTGAAAGGTGTTACCTTTTACAGGCGAGCATAATACTGTGAGCAGGCCTTCTTGTGTTATGATTGTATGTACCATAAAAAATGAATTTATGTATTGTATGTATAACCAGATTTATTCTGCTAATTTTCCTGCTCCCTCAGTGCTTGCCTGAAATTTGAGTCAGAAGTAGGACTGGTATAGAGTGTAGAGAATAAATGTGCTCTCATATGAGGGAGCTGAATAGAATATAATTACCTAATGAAGCATTTTCTGCCCTTGTTTTTCCATTTCACCCACACCATATTATTGGTCCTCACAATACATCTTTATCTTTTAAATTAAAATTTTAATATTCGGTATTATTGGAATGTATTAAAGAGGAAAAAATTTAATGGAATTCTTTTATGAAAATGGTCGTTTATTTATTGCAAATATCAAACAAATTGTCTCCAGAAATAAACAGTTAATTTACTCTTCTGCCAAAGTGTAGTTTCAATATTTGAAAATGAGTTATTTATTCTATCTCTGAGCTCATGGAACTAGACACTGAATATTCACTTTAATCATAGAATGGTTTGGATTGGAAGGGACCCTAAAGATCATCTAATTCCAATGTTAATTGAAAAATGCATTCTTAAAAATTCTAGTTTTTAAGCTAAATTAGAACTATATCTCTCAATTGCCATATGAGAGATCTGCCTTCATTTTTTCGCTAACACTGCTTCAAATTCTTTAATTAAGTGATTATATCATCTAGAGACAGAAAACGAGTAAGTACAATTTATCTAACTGGTTTCTACAAAAATTCTTCTGGAATCATCAGCTGAAACACATATGTAAGAAGCTAAGTGAAATTTCATGTTCAATATACTAGGCAGTGACTTAGATTTTTTTTAAGACCGTCAGCTGGCACAGCAGGCAGTCAAGTGTGTCATGCCTGAGAAAAAATGTCATTATCTAAGCATTAAATGACATTCGGGACAGCAAGCAAATATAATTTTATATTTCTGTTGTATGTCTTTCTTTAAATGGAAATAAACAGTAACTGAGTGTTCCTCATAATTACTTTCAGAAAAAAACACCCTTCTTTGCTGAGAAAGCAAAAGATTTAACAGCAGAAGTGGGACAATATTAAAATAGTTATCCTCTAATATACCTCTCTGGTTTGGTTCTACCTCTGGAATTCAGTACTGGTAGCTTTTTACACTGATGTGATACATAATCATGCATTAAGAAGCCTGTGGGAAAAGTTTATTTTGACATGTGCATTCATAAAAACAGCTAAAATAAGAAACTGCCCTTCCTTTTTATGGCTATGTATGACTGATATAAACACAGATTGCATTTTTACTATTCATATACATGCCTCGTCATTTTTTCAAAACTGAGTATTTTGTCTTCCATAGTATTTTGGCAGGTCATACATACAGTGTGTAAGAGTTCTCTCCTTACATGCAGAAGTTGTGTTAGTATGGTTTCAGCACAGACATAAGGAAAACAAACAGCATATTTGATTTTCAGAGAAACGTATTTACAACTGAGGAGACATGAAAGGAAAAATAGTGGGGGTGTAAAGGATTAAGCAAAAGTATTCTTGGTGTTAGAACAACTAGTTATTTCTAAATATTGAATGCTAGTAGAATTGTATAGGAATAGATAGTGAAGTCTGAATATCAATGCTGGTAGCATTGAAAGCTGACATGCAGGAAAACCTGAGTTCTGGTTACACAAAAAGAAAGCACAGGAGTACAAGAGCATTCCACCAGAGAAAAAGAAAAATAGCCATTGGCCATACTGTGACTCTGCAACACTAGCTTGATGTATATAGTGTTCCTCAAGAATATTTCTAGGGCTAGTTTATTCTTTTGGATGAAAATTAAGCTTCCCAGTTCTTAAATGTTCAAGCAAGATGATGCACTGTGAAGAGAGAAGGCCAAGATCAGAGACCAGAGCTCAGAGAAGCTGAGTGAGTAGTGTGCTAGATTCTCTCTGGTCTTATTTGGTTGAGATGGTTTTTGAAGATGATTCCCAAATTCTCTCTTAAATCTCTGTTTCTTCTTGTATGGTGCTGCTGCCATTAGGTCTGTCAAGCAGATCAATAGGTGGTGTTGTGGTTGGTAAATCCTTCCTCTGGCTGACAAATGAAGGGAAAAGGGTGGAAGGAGTCCTGCTGCTCCTTTCTCCTTGCTGCCACAGCTAGGACATGGCCAGTGGGTTGACTGGGGAGAGTGGGCAAAAAGAGAGAAAATACTTCCTAGACATGTTTGCAATCAGTGTGAACTCAGTGTAGCTCAAGAGAGAACTCCATCAGCTGAGGTCCTATTAGCCGCTCCAAAAGGGTCTGAGTGATTAAAAGTGTTGCATGCTAGACTCAATGAGGCGCCTTATATCGGAGTCAGAATAGGGAAAAATGGTTGTTTTATTTAGAACCACTTGTAAAACAGAGGCTGGTAACTAGATGACACATATAATCTCAAAGTATCGTGAGGTTCATTTTACTTGTTTTATTAGGAGGAAATAATATACTTACAATATGCCTACATATAATAATAATATGCCTACAAAAAGGCATAGAGAAATCCTTTTATATCATATTAGTGATATATTAATTAGGGATATAATATACTAGAGCAACAAAGTTGGGATAAAAGTGGTAAAAAACAAGATAAAATTGGAAATTTTAACAGAACTGTTGAAGAGATTACTTAGCCAAATGTAGAAAAGAATGCAACAAATAGAACAGTAATACAGAACACTGACGAGAAATTTCCAACTTCAGCTTTAATGATTCATATTGATGACAAGACTGAAATTTTCTACATCATCAGCTGTATGTAATGCCATAGTTCCTGCTCTCAACAATCAAAATTCAAGGTTTAGATTTGCCAGATACTGTACATCATACATGTATGAGCATAACTCTCTCTGTGTCTAGTGTAGCAAACTAGTAGTACTGGACAGAGTAGCACACTTCTTTTTGGTATTCTAAACCCTTAGCAAGACCAAGATAAATTAACCAATGGAAAAGAAGACTTCAGCATGTGTTCATTTGACTAGTGTAGATGCAGGTGGATGCCCTTGAAGCATGTAAGTGCTGAAAAGTAAGTAGTTTTGGCAGTGGTGCAGCTGCTCGTGGTATCCTTTGACCTGTGTTGATGGAAACATTTGTTATAATAGTGTTTTGGGGTTGTATTGTGAACAATTATGAATACACATCTTTGGTACTAGAGTTGTTTCTTGCAACTTCTCTTGTTAAGGAAGTAAATTTGACATATTCAAAATATTGAATAAAAATGGAGGCTAGGTTGGATATCCATATTCCATGAAAACAGCGTAGAAATGGAAAGCTGTTTCATATAGATTCCTTTTAAATGTACCGGTTTAATTTTTAAAATATTAGATACCTGGATAAAACTTGAAAAGATGAAACATAATTAGAATGGAGCTATGCTGAAAAATAATTAAGAAAGGAATAATTAATATTAATAATACCACACAGTTATTCTATGCAATTACTTTCTGTAAGATTACCGTAAAGCTACAAGCCTAGACAGTATAATTTGATAGATTTATGATGGAAATAGCTGTGTACAGTTTTATTGGGTCCCCTTGTCTTTCCTTTCCTCACCTCCACACCAAGCAGCTTTTTGCCCCAGGATGTAAACCAAAACCAAACACCAGCTAGCTAAGAAAGGATTTTCCATGTGAGAAGCCTGTTTAGTTATTGCCTGTCCCATGGCTCTTCCAATGGACTAGTCGGTAATTGTATTTTTGGACAGAACCCTATACAGCTAAACCAGCCATCTGGTCTGAAAGCACAGGTCCTGT